GAGAAAAGAGTGTTAGCGCGGATGAAAAGAAAAAGAGAGAGGAGAGAGAGAGAGAGAGAGAGAGAGAAAGAAAGAGAGAGAGAGAGAAAAAGAGAGAAAGCGTACATAGGAACACACGATGCACACACGAGCGTTTGATATTTTATTTTGCTTCTCGTCAACGTCGATTCGAGGGTCGCACGCTTTTCCAGCAGAACATTTTCCACAATTTCTCGTCGACTACGACGACTACGACGACTACGACGACTACGACGACGACGACTACGACGACGACGACTACGACGCCGTATTCGTCGTCGTCAGGGCGACGCTCGGGTGTACGTCGGTATAATATCAAAGCCTCTTCCATTTGCGTTCGTCGGCTCTTTGACACATTTTCTTTTGATTCGATACGCGCGAGAGGCACGCTTTACGTGCTTCAAGAGGGAACCACCACCCTTTCCCCCACTCTCTCTCTCTCTCTTTCTCTCTTTTTCTCTCTTTCTCTTTCCTCCTTTCTATGCTACCCTCCTTCTTCTCCTTCTTCCTACGTCATAGCTACCATCGTCAAAGTCCCGAGAACGTGATTCGTAGTAGTGGACGTCGTCGTCGTCGTCGACTCCTGAAAGCTACGCTTAACGACGACTCGTCCGTTTTTGCTACCCCCTTTACCCTTCTCTCTCTTTCTCCTTTTCCGCACCCATCCCATCCATTCACCCACCCACCCCGAATCCCCCGATCACCGACTTTTTCCCTCCTTTCCTCTCCCAACCTTTCTTTCCTACCTCCTCCTTCGTTTTCTTCTCCTTCTCCTTTTCCCACTCTTCTTGCTTCTTCTACTCCACCCACATCACCACCACTTTGGTGAATGTCTCTAATTGAAAAACGGCCCGTTTTCTACTACCACTGTACATCCTTTCTTTCTTTCTTTCATTCTTCTTTCCTTCCATCCTTTTTTTCGTTATTTCTTTCTTTCTTTCTTTCTTTCTTTCTTTCTTTCTTTCTTTCTTCCTTCCATCCTTTTTTCCTTTCTTTCGTTACACGACATTCCAGGGTTTAAATTCAATTTCGATTCGATGCACACACTCTTTTCTCTATCTTTATCTCTCTCTCTCTCTCTCTCTCTCTCTCTCCCTTTTTTTCTCTTTAAACCACGGTGCTTTAGTCTCTCCTTGGAAAAGGGCCTCGGTCGACCGGTTTCAGGGCGCGTCGTTATGCTCCATTTAACACGGCTATGACTCCATCCGTACGATAGTATTTCTCGTGTCGTTGACTTTACCAAGCAAAATACTACTGTATTCTTAATCGCACGTAAGAAACTACTATTTCTTCTTCTTTTTTCATTCTCTTTTTTCTACATTCCTTTTGCTTCACTTTTCTATACGGCATAAACGAATAATTTATAAGAAATGATTCGGAGAAAACCGTATTGTAGGAAAAAGTAAAGCATGTATTTTTCCTTTTAAAATTTATTCCATCTCTTTAGGATGACGTACATGTTCACACGCCAGACGAACAAAATACGACGTGATACGCGAAGCTCCTTGTCTCGTCAGTGTCCTCTCGTTTTTTTTCTCGACAATAGACGAGAGGGTAGAGAAAAAAGGATACAGAGAGAGAGAGAAAGAGAGAGAGAGAGGAAGAGAGGGAGAGGTGGGAGTGAGAGAGTGAAAGAAAGAGAGAGAGAGAGCAACAACTAAGAAGAAAGAGAAAAATAGATAGATAAATAAAAAAAGAGATACAATAAATTCTTTAGTTAGAAAGAGAGAAAGAAAGAGAAAGAGAAATAGAGAGATTTTTCAAAGATTCCCATAAATTTCTATTTATCAAACAAATACTATTCGCTTGATCGTTTTTAAAAAAAAAATAATTGAATATGTGTTTAAAGATGATAAAAAAAAAAAAAAAAAAAAACAAAAAGAAAAAGATCGGAAGAAAAGAATTAGAAAAAATATTCTTACGAAAGTTAGCATATTTTTTAAAAATCTGTTCTATCCTCTTAGAATGAAACGCAAAGCTTGCTTATTCACACGCGCACACACACATATATATCTTGGTAGACGATAAAAAAATTGACGTGATCTTGAAGTTTCTCTCGTCAGCATTTCTCCTCCTGTTTTTTTTCTATATAAGAGAAAAAAAAGAAAGATTAGAAAAAAAGAGAGAGAGAGAGAGAGAGCAAAAATTAAGGAGAAAAAAAAAGATAGAAATCTTTTCGAACCTTGCCATTAATTTCTATTTATCATGCAAATACTAATTTTTATTTAAGAAAGTAATTTTTTCATTTTCTTTTCTTTTTGGTACATTTAGAACGATCGAATACACGTATAAAGACGATGAACGAATGAAAAGGGAACGATTAGTAAAGAATATTTTCAGAATACTTCATAAAATCAGAATACTTCATTGAAAACTATTTAATTTTCTTAGAACGAAAGAATCGAAAGAGTAGCGCATTGACATACGCTAGATGATTAAAATTGACGTCAAAATTGATCGTGAAATCTCCTTTTCTCGACAGAGAGCATCCTCTCGTTTTTCCTCGATAGTAGATGAACGAGAGGGTAGAGAAAAGACGGAAAAAGAGAGAGAGAGAGAGAGAGAGCAACAACTCCTTAGTTAGAAAGAGATGGATAGATAGATAAATAGAGAAACAGAAAGAGAAGGAGAGAGAGAAAGAGATAGAGAGAGAGAGAGACTTTTCGAAGGTTGCCATTAATTTCTAGGGGAACGGAAACTAAAGCCGGTGCGCCGTATGTTAGTTACGTATTCTCCCGCGGCAACGGAGCTTCCTGACGAAGTCAATTAAGCTCTTTTGTGACGAGAAGCAGCAACAGAAGTGCTGGAGACTCCGACGGCCGGAGTGGATGGCGTTCGTTACAAGAACCACCCTCGAACAGCCACATTTATGCTCCCACGAAACTCGAAATATCGGTATTCACCCTCTCTTCTCTTTCTCTCTCTCTCTCTCTCTCTCTCTCTCTCTCTTTCTTTCTATCTATCTATCTATCTATCCTTTTCTCTCTTTCTATCTATATCCTCTCTTCCTTCGTTGTTCTTACCAAGTTTGATATCTTACTATCTTATTACTATCTATGATCAATCTCTCTTGCGAACTTTTGTGGTACACAGGTGCAAGAACTTTACAGCCGCAAAAAGGATCGGCACGCCTGGTAACCCAACACCCGTAAGGATGCCACATGCTCATCCAGAAACCTTCAGGCAGTTCATTCATTACATTTACACTGGCAAAGTAAGAATAAGAATCAATTTGTTAATTTAACAAATAAATATTATTGGTCTTTCTTATCGATAAATAAAAAAAAGATTTTAATATAAATCCACGAAGCGTTAAAAATTTATGATATTAAAATAAATCAATTATATCAACAAAAAAAAATATATATATATATATATATATATATATATTTTCTCGCTTCAATTGTTCATGGAAATGACAGAATGAAAAATATCCTGTCCACAAATATATATATATATATATATATATATATATATATATATATATATATATATAAACAAAAATAGAAATAAAGATTATATATCGTCCGGCAAACATTAAATTAAATTTATTACACGATATAAATTTTTATATATTGTCGTGTACGGGAACCGACCACATTCTCTATTGGCCACGCGTAAATCCAAAGACTGAGTTTATGGAATCAATAAATGGTACACTCTTTATATACGTATTATATATAGGGCGTTCATTAAATTTAGCTATTACTAGCCAAAGTTTTTTGTGTAATGATTAAATTGTCTTAATTTTTTGTCTATTGTTTTTTTTTGTTTTTTTTTTTTTTTTTTTTGTTAATCGATTAGATCATGCTACAAGACAGCGGTATATTCGAGATGTTGGGTCTTGCTCAAGAACTTGGTGTCGAAGAACTTTGGAGAAGTTGCGAGGAACACGTATCGGCCACTTTAAGCCCTGGAAATGCGTGTGCCCTTTTGACCGCAGCATTGGATGCTCAAGAACGTGTACCAGGTAAGTCGATCGATTTCTCAATTCGTCGAATTTTAATTCGATTTCTCTTGTGAAACTCGTGTTATTACTTTCGCATTAGTAAATTACTTCCTTAAATTTCTTTATTTCTTTCTTTCTTTTTTTTCTTTTTTTTTCTTTTTTTTTCTTTTTCTGTTTCTTTACGTCAAATTATCAAGCAAAAACTTTCGTACGAAGTCAAAAGAAAATAAAAGATATAAATTTTCAATATAAGTATTATACTTATATATTATATTATGCGCATGAACCGTAAACACTTTTTGTGTGACACTTCCTAACTATCATCGATCTTCATTATTTTAATTTCGATACACGCTCTCCCTACTTTTTATCTCTCTTTCTCTTTCTCTCTCTCTCTCTCTCTCTCTCTCCCTCCCCCTCTCTCTCCCCCTTTCTTTGCTTTCCCTTTAATCGATTCGCACGATTCCACCTTCTACGCCAAAGGGGAGATTTTATCCGGTATCATTAGTTATACATTTTTTATTTATTACCTCGATGTCAGTATCAGCCCACTTCGTATACGTTCTGCTTCGATTAATAGTACCAACGATCATTTCAATTTGAAATAGCTCATTATTATAATGATTAATATAATTTTTTTTTTTCGATAATTGATAATTAAACAAACGATGTCCTAATGTTCAATAATTTTTCAATAATTAAATAAAATTGTTATATTTTATTTGACATTTAACGAATATATATGTATTATCGATCATTATTATTACGTTGTTCTTACTTACTACTTTATCGACAATGCAGAAGACTTTTTTATCAACGCATTAAACATGGCAGCACTATCCAAATCTAATTTAATATCGACTATTCTATTTCTTTCTATTTATAACGAAAATTAAAAAATATAAATTTTCTTTTTTATTATGTAATTTTTTTTTTTCAAAATTCTAAATATAAAGATCGTAAAATTTCGATCAGTCTTCGTTCAACGATAAAGAAATTATTCGAGCAGTAGTTGGTACTATTGTGAAGTTCCTTTAGTTGGTACTACTACCTGAACGCCATATTTTACGGCGTCTGGCATTTTCATCGAGAAAAAAAAAACAAGCACGTTTTAAACGAGTCGTCATAATTTTTTTGCAAAAACAAAGTTCAAAATGTCGTACAAAGGACCTCAAAAAGTACAAAAGGTGATGGTACAACCAATCAACCTTATATTTCGATATTTACAAAATCGATCCCGCGTCCAAGTTTGGCTTTTCGAAAATATTCATCTGAGAATCGAGGGTCACATTGTTGGCTTTGACGAATACATGAATTTGGTACTGGACGATGCTGAGGAATATCATTTGAAAACGAAGAATAGAAAACCATTAGGACGTATCATGTTAAAAGGAGATAATATAACGTTAATACAAAATACTAATCCTGCTGCGAATTGAATTTGAAAAAATAACCTCAAAATGGGCATTGGTATGTCAACACAAGAATCTACGTCGAGTGCCCTTCATTGGACGATATCAAGAAGAAGACAAAAGTTGTGTATTAAAATATGATTTATATTGTGGTGCGACTCAGGGACATACTTAGGACAAAAATATGAAAACCTTCAAGGAAAGGAAGTTCTCGACTTTCTCTATACTTTACTATATCATTGATGTTAAAAAGATTAATCCATTGACTCATGTTTATTTTCTCATATCAGATTTTTCAATATTTTCTTTGTAGATTTGAGCATACTACGCGTTTAAAGTCTTTCATTATAACTATGTACTATGGGATATTCTCAACGTTATAAATATTTTCTATTCTACAGTCTGTATTGTAAAATAATGTATCAAAATACTATGTTTTAGTAAAAGCTTCAAAGTTCTTTTTTTTTGATTGAACCGAATTTTGTCTGTTTTTTTTTTTTTTTGAAAAAACAAAACACTATTGTAATTATCATCAATAACAAAATATTATTAAAAATATCTTTTGACCTCAACCTATGACTTATCACTTCTTCCAATTCTTTCAGCCTTTCTAATTTGTCCCAACTTTTTCATACCTTTCCCTCAAAATAATGAAACTAATACGATCCATTATATTGCATAAATATCAATAAAATATTCTAACATAATATAATATAAAATAAATAAATATTAAAATATTAATATTATAATTTAATAGTAGGATAGAAACATTATTTTTTCCTGCAGTTAAAATTTATCTTTCAGGTGGCAAAGGTGCTTGTTCATCCTTTATCGAGAGATGTTTTGCATTTATCGGAGAAAATGCAGTGGACACTGTCAAAACTACAGCTTTTTGCAATCTACCAAAAGATGCCCTTGTCAAATTGATATCTTCCGATTATCTTGGGTTAGAAGAGGAAGACGTATGGAGAGCGGTGTTGAACTGGGCCAAGTATCAGGTTCCCATATTTTGAAATTATTATTCCGTTTCCGAGCAAATTTTATCCCTTGAATTCGAGAAAAATTATACGTTCTGATCGTACGTATGTCGTGCAAGGTCTTAGACCTTATATCGCATACATTATCGGGTCCTTGGCTCCTTAGGTTCTTGGATCGGAATTTAGAATTACGAGTTAAGGAACGCTTAACCGTACGGACCACGCTCCTAGGCAGGGGTGACGCAGCCTACGCAACATTGGACCGAAGAGGAACGAGTGAGGGTCTGCCAACATTTGTCAGGAGTGATAAATCACGTTCGTCTACTACTCATCGATAGCCAGGTCTTTGCGGAAGAGGTAGAACCAACTGGAGCTGTACCGATAGAACTATCTTTGGAAAGGTAAAAAAATATTTCAATACTTTATCTCAAATAAAATTCAAAATAATTCATATAGAAGGACCACTTCATATAGAACGTTATTTTATAAATCTCTATTTTCTATGTTATTATACTTTAGATATAGATATGCGGCACTACCAAGCAAATATGCGGAGATTTGTTCGGATAAGAGATTACAACCAAGAGTAAGTCCCTTTCTATTCCCTGGATCCCAAATACTATCAAGAGACAAAATGGGTTATCAACGATTATTGAATCAATGGTATGGTGCACCAAAACAAAGTTGGCGTTTGGTTTATAGGTAAGTAAATTAAATATAAATATATCAAAAGAATTGAATTGAAATCTATTTATATTATTTTCTAGAGCTTCTAGTCATGGATATTCTGCAGCATCTTTTCATCGTCATTGCGACGGTGTCTCACCAACATACGTAATAGCATTAGTAAGTTATGCATATTTAAAATTATTATGATCTATAAAGATTATCAATAAAATAGTAAAATAATATTATTACAGGGTACACGTGGAGAAATATGTGGTGGATTTAGTGATGCACCATGGGGTAAAACTAATGCTAAAGGACATTATATTTCTTCTGAAAAAGCATTTCTTTTTACTTTAACTAATAATCAAGATGTACCTCCAACCAAATATGAAATCGTTAAGAAACCCTTTGCTATTTGCTATCATCCTGAGTAAGATATAAATATTTTTATATATTCTTAGAAAAATTTTAATTAATCTAATTAGATATCACTAATATAAATTTTTCTCTAATATCACAGTATAGGACCTATATTCGGTGCTGGTGCGGATCTATTAATATCTAGTAACTGTAACGTAAATATGGAAAGTTACAGTAATCTTCCTCATAGTTACGATGGTGAACATGCTTCTAATACGGTACTTATGGGAGATTATCATTTTTCTGTAGTAGATTATGAAGTTTTTACACCAAGTCATCCTCCCAAATCGAATCACTGATGAAATCATAAAACATTTTGAAACATAGTACAATATTGTAAATACTTGATGATTTACATGCTCTCTTATACAGACTGAGATTATTTTATACGCAAAATCTAGTTAATATTTTCAAATCTTAATGTCTTAACGAAATATGTATAGGGATACCAAAAATCCCATTATAATTCTATATTTTATATATTAGCTTATATGATAAATTGTATAATTCTAATGCCTTTTTAGGTATGCATTTCATAGAATTGTACATAATATAATCTATTATTCCTAAGAGTATTTTTTCATATTAATACTATTACTTTCTATTCTTCTAACAAAGATGGAAATAAGAAATCTCTCTGTGGCGCAATAAGTTTTGCGATACTAAATTATGAATAATTATTAATGTTCATCAAATACTTATATTATTATATAACGATCGCTTAAATATCTAATACAGACTAATGTGGAAAAAATTTTCTTTAAACATTATACGTCCAATTCTTACATGTATCTTTTCAATGAATAAGATTATAAACGTAATACGATGAAGACAAATTTGGCGATTTTGTTAATGAAGATTTATTAGAAAAATAATTGTTTTTTCTTTTTCTTTTTTTTTTTTTTTTTTTTTTTTTTTACTTACTTGTAAAGTCTGCTCATTGGCGTATCCTCGTTTGAAAATTCTTTTCCTTTTCTTCTAATCTTCCACTATCAGTATTTCAATAATTATTCGATGTAATTATCGTCGATAACGTATTTGAATAATTAAAATGATATCGAGTTGTATTTTGTATAAAAGGATGAAAAAATGTACTATTCAAATATCTCACGAACGAACGAACCAACGAACGAACGAACGAACAAATGAACGAGCAACGGTAAATTAAGGAAAATTGAATGTTCGTAAATAAAACTGACCAATCAGCGTCTTAAGACGAAGCAATGTGATTGGACGGGCGATCCTTGATTATCGAATTAATATTCTACAACCAATCATGCGAACGTTTAAAATTAAAATTGGAAAAATTAATTTGGCCAAAATTTTTCCTTAATATATATATATATATAAAATAAAATAAAAATCAAGCCGTCATATTTATTTTCCTTTTATGTAAGAATATCATTCGATATATTATAGTCAATTATAAGATAATCTCATCAACATTTTAAAAATGCATTTGATATTCAATTGTTTTTTTCACGAAACGTTCACGTTCTCAGTTTTTCTGAGGTTGGTCACCTGACGGCGATTACTTCTTGCTACTTCTCGTTACGGTAATTATATAAACTTTTTTGATAATTAAAATAAAAGGAGGAAAAAAAAAAGAAGAAGAAGAAAATATTCACGAAACTAATAACTAATAAAACAATCGAACGATAACGATATAATAATGATATCGCGCTTATATTATATTTCGAAAAATTTCTAACGATGAGATCTAATCGTTAGATAAATAGAAAATATTGGAATGAACGTAATAAATTAGATCTGACGAATGACGTTAGATGAATAAAATTAATTAAACGAGATAGATATTAACGTGACAAATTAATTATATCGATTTAATTATTTTCTCAATTTTATCGAGAAAATTTTTGTCCACTTTACGTTATTCGTCCATATTGTTCCTTGTTCGGAACGTTTTTTATTCGAAAATGAGAAATTATCGTTTGTGCAAGGACGATTGCAATTCTTCATCTTCCCTTTATTTTCTTCTTTTTTCTTTTTTCTTCTTTTCTTTCCTTCTTTTTTTTATTTTTCAAATGGCGGCCTGTAAAATAAAGAGACACTGTATACACCTTAAGAAACACGTTTCAGAACACGAAGACGTATATTTGAATTTCTCGAACGTGCTTTTCACACGTATTATACATGCGTATGTTCAAACACATGCATTGGTATATATATACCAATATATATATATATATATATATTGGTATATATATATAAGTATATATTGGTATATATATGTATATATTTAAGTATTAGGTATCACGATAAAAAAGTCATTTGAAAATCATAAAGTTTCTGCGTAAATGCAGACATGCCGAACGTGTAAAGCAAAAAACGTCGAAGTACCGCCAAAATTAATTGATATTCGAATGCAAATCATTAATAATTTTCGTGGCCTCCATTGCGATATATATTTAATATATATATATATATATATAAAATATATGTATATATAACGTGATAAACGTATGCATATATCATATATGTACACGCATATGTATATATATATATATATTTATTTATATATATATAGGAATATATATGAGATATATATATATATATATATGTATGTATGTATGTACAGTATCACACTATGTATGTCTCGTGCGCTCAGAGAATTTATATTTCGCTCTTCGGTATACGTTGAATATTCATGCTACAGTATTATGAGTTTAACATGCTCATCTTCGCCGTGGGCTTTACTATATTATCTATTTATGTCCGTAACCTTTTCATAAATTTGCACGCAACCTTGTAATTTCGCCTCTGTCTCTCAAGAACTTCTACTACGTTGTCCAAGATGAAAAAGATTTTTATCATCCTTTATATTCCTCTTTTTATTTTTCTTTTTTATTTTTTTTTATATATATATGTATATATATATATATATATATATATATATATATATATTTATATTTTTATTATTTCTTTCTTTTTAATCTGTCTCTCTCTCTCTCTCTCTCTCTCTTTTCATAATCGTTCGTGTTATTACATTTTACAATGCATTGTTGTGGTCCTTCTCGTTTCCTAAACAAAAAAAAAATAATAAAAAGCAGTACAAATAAGAAAGTAAGAATAACGATAAATATAAAAAAAAAAAAGAAAAAAAAACAAGAGAACAAAAAAAAATGATTGATCGAAATAAAATAAGAATTTGATTCTTAGTTCAGCTAAGGTTAATGTCCTTCTCGTTGCTTTGACTTTCTTCGACTGACAATGCTTTGTCTCATTGTCAACAGTCGTATCGTCGACTACGTTGTCCTTTGTTTACGAATAAAGGTAAACGACGTGACTGGAGGAGGACTCTCAAAGTCGTAGAATACAAGGGACATATGTACATATATATATATATATATATACATATATGTATGCGTGTGTATATATAATATATATATACATATATATATGTATATAACAAATGTTACACATTGATATATGTAATAATCAATTTTATTATATTCTAAAAATAATATCTTAATGGAGGAGTGAACTTTGTATTATTTTTCCTTTTTTGTTTGTGTGCTTTTTCCTCTGTTCTCTTTTTTCTTTTTATTTTTCTATTTTTTTTTCTTTTTTTTTCCTTTTTCTCTCTCATTTTTTTCTTTTTGTTCTTTCGTATTCAATCTAGCCTTCCATAGTTTACAATATGTATGCACATATATATATATATATATATACACACACACACATACATACATACGTACATACAACATTGACATGCATTCATACATACACGTTGTTGATTTCTTGTGTTTATGTATTTACACTTTTGTCCCAGCCTAATTAAATAAACACGAATACATAATAAACCTATGATTGCACGTGTGTCCGGGTTTTTTTTTACTTTTTTTTTTTTTTTTTTTTTTTTTTTTTGAATTAATATTGAGGGCATATTGATCTTATGTTAAAAAAAGAAAAATAAGAAGAAAAAGAAAAAGAAAAAGAAGAAAAAAAACAGAAGAAGAAAAAGAGAACATATAGAGAAATGGACATAAGGAAATGAGAAAATGTAACGCGTGGAAAAGAGATATGGACTATCTTGATTTTTTTTATAACATTAATTATTAATTAGTGTCTATGATAAAACGTTATTTACGAAATATTTTTCGGTAATATTTCATTGAACGAACGATTTTGACAATTACATTTTTCCCATATATATATATACATACATACATACATACATACATTCATATATATATATATATATATATATATATATATATATATATCAATATTAATATTCTGTCAAATCAATAGCGATTAATCATGCGATATAATTAACGCATCGATTGAAATACAAATGCAATTAATAATCATTCATTTAATTCTATACTACCTAACATCTAACAATGCTAATAAAAACGAACTCGGTGCATATATCTGACACGAATCGCGGTAATAAATGCGAGTTAAAAAAGAAGAAAGAAAAGAAAGAAAATCGAAAAAAAGAGAGAAAAGAAAAGAAAAGAAAAGAAAAGAAAAGAAAAGAAAAAGAAATAGAAATAGAAATAGAAAAAAAAAAAAGAGAAATGGGAGAAAGAACTAACGTCGTGTTTTTCATGATATTTACACGTGATCATTAACATAATAATATCGAGGATTCCAAAGGAGGAGATAATAAAAATAAGATGATGAATTTGATAAATGAAATGAAAAAAAGGAGAAAGAAAAAAAAAATACAAAAATGAAACAAGAAAGAGCGTAATAAAATAATAAAGGGATTGAAAATTATTCTCTAGAATGAAAAAAGGATTTTAAAAAAAGATTAATTCGTGTGTGAGAGAGATTGTGTGTGAGAGAGAGTGTGTGTGAGAGAGAGAGAGAGAGAGAGAGAGAGAGAAAGAGTAAGGGCACACGTAACTGCTAGCCAACTAGCCAGCATGGACGGAAGACTGTTGGGTGTGAATCCTGAAAACGATATCTTTACTACTACCTCTCGAGTTTCTTGGATTCCAAGGATCACGACGAACGTTTTCTTTTACAAAGATCGCGCACACTTCTTGGCTCGCACAAGTAGATGGAGAGTTAAAAGCGAAT